CTACATGTTGCTACAAAAACCTCTAAGAAATGACTCAAACATTTAATTAGAGGAAGTTCAATTCTATTCAGTTTATTTCTATGGCTCCAATTCACATCATGTCATCTCAGGTCACTTTCCAGTTCACCAGATCATCCAGTCAGATTGATTCAAAGTTTTCCATCTAAGAAAAACCAGCTGATTGCATCGACTCATTGACTCTTCAGCAATCCCTCACACTAAGCATGCTTGTAGCGACAGTGGAGAGGAAAAACTCCCTTTTAACAGGAAGAAAGCAAACCTACCATAAAAAAAGTTTTTTTTCATTTAAACCTTTTTTGTTTCGTTTGTTTTATGATCAGCCAGCCAAAAGTTTCAGAGCTAATGAAGGTTAATGTTATAAGAATTTGGGATTTTTCACTTTAGTTCAGTTTTTCTTGGTTGTAACATTTTCTTTTCTCTAATTTCACTAGTTCTATTCAGTTATTATAACCATTTTGCCATTTTCTGTTAGTTACTATTTTTTTTGAGAATACCTAGTTTTAATTTAGTTTTTATTAGTTCTAGTAGTACTTTTTGACGTTTTTTTTAATACTTTGGTTAATTACAGTAGCAGCCATTCAAGATTTCCCTGCTTTCATTGGTTGGTCCTTGGCTGGTCCTTGGTTGGTCCTTGGATGGTCCTTGGTTGGTCCTTGGCTGGTCCTTGGTTGGTCCTTGGCTGGTCCTTGGATGGTCCTTGGCTGACCCTTGGCTGGCCCTTGTCTGGTCCTTGGCTGGCCCTTGGCCGGTCCTCGTCTGGTCCTTGGTTGGTCCTTGGTTGGTCCTTGGCTGGTCCTTGGATGGTCCTTGGCTGACCCTTGGCTGGCCCTTGTCTGGTCCTTGGCTGGTCCTTGGCTGGCCCTTGGCCGGTCCTTGGCTGGTCCTTGGTTGGTCCTCGTCCGGTCCTTGGTTGGTCCTCGTCTGGTCCTTGGTTGGTCCTTGGATGGTCCTTGGTTGGTCCTTGGTTGGTCCTTGGATGGTCCTTGGCTGGCCCTTGGCTGGCCCTTGTCTGGTCCTTGGCTGGCCCTTGGCTGGTCCTTGGATGGTCCTCATCCGGTCCTTGGCTGGTCCTCGTCCGGTCCTTGGCTGGTCCTCGTCTGGTCCTTGGTTGGTCCTTGGATGGTCCTTGGTTGGTCCTTGGATGGTCCCCTAAGATTCCTTTTTAAACTTCAATCTTTGTACTAAAATATTCTTTCTGTCATGATTTGTGGACATTAAGATCTAAAGAGAAGCACCATCTCCTGGTCAGACCCTGTAATTCAGTGGTAGGATGGAGTCAGATTGAAAAAATATGCAGGAGGGGGTCACTGCAGTGGCTGGAAGTTGGATGGAAGATGGTCGCCATTGGGCTGGCGTTTGACTGGGAGCTGTGGACTCTAAAGAGAAACACTGCATCTTTCATGGTGTTTATGTGCACGTCTGTGTGTTTGTGCTGCTGCCAAAGCATCAAAACAAATTAGATCCGCCTTCTTATGATCCGACAGCTTCCATCCAATCAAATTGCAGGGCAACCGATGAAGATAAACAGTTAAAGGATGCAGAACTCAGGAAGAAACTGATCAACTACTCCAATCTCCTGCTGTTAGCTGTCTTAGTTCCAGAGCAGGGTACCGACTCTGCCCCGCTCTGGCTCACTGTCTGCTTGGGAGGTCAAACGCCAGTCAGAGTGCAGCAGAGCGGGGCAGGGGGGCCAAATATTAGCCACATGACATCACGTATCTGGACTTTATGGAAAAATAAAAGGAAAAACGTCACTTTTGTTTCAAGCTTGTCAGAGCAAACCTTTAAAGGAAGACATCCTGGTGAAAAGATTTGTTTCCTTAAATACCATCAAATTGCTGTTTAGCACTGTAGAGCCCTTTTAATGCACCATCCACACCCTTTAGGGAAACCTCTCCTCAGCAGGAACAGTGAAGCTAAATAATGGTAGAATGTGTGGAACTAGATTCTACATCTGGAACAGAACCTGTTAGAGCCATCAGGCCACATCAGCTTTCTATAGATGCTTGAAATAAGAACACATACCATCAGTAACTTAAAGCTGTTTGCTGGTTTTACTATTTTTAGCACGTTTTTACAAAATTATATGTATAAAATCTTTTGAAATCCATTTATCATTTCAGTTCCATCAGAATTTCGTCATATTTTGTGTTGCACCATTAAATAAAACCCCAATAAAATGCACTGTTTATGGTAGTAATATTATAAAATATAAAAACTAAACATTAAGGTGTTTGAATACCTTGGAAAGGCTCAGAGTTTATTGCAACAGAGCTGCGGTTGTTGCAAAAGTCAGTGAAGGGCATGATGATGGCAGGGAATAGAGGGAAGATGTGTAAAAAAGAGAGAGCGTCTGATGACTGAGTAGACTGCAGAGAGAGGCGGGCGGCGAGGGACTGTGGGTGGTGAGTGAATGAGAGGCAGACAGGAGACATTATGGACAGAGCAGAAAATTTGACAGGTAAGTGCGGCAATTGTGTAAATGGAAAGCCGATGGCAGGAGAAGCAGAGAGTGAAGAAGAGTGAGACGGAGTGGCAAACAGAGCCGGGATCTGAAGGGCAAGAAAACAGAAGGTCTGACAACAGAATGGGACCTGAACCAGAGGCTGAACAAACAACTGATGGGAAAATGCACTTTAAACACATTATTAGGGAGATGGATGGATAACTGATGCATTTATAAAAACATAAAGTATTTATTGAGGATGTAGAATAAAATAAATTCAGTCCTTAACCCTTTATAGGGCACTCAGTGAAAATTAACATTTTGAGCCAATAGTGTTTTTGGAATCCAGGACCTTATTACCTTTGGAACGTTCAAAACATCTGGATATTTTTATGGCAAAAAGTGAATGTTAATGTAATAACAAGAAACGCCAACTTGCCCAAATATATTAAGAAAAATAACAAAAGTGCTTCTAGAAGAAGTTCATGAAAAACACTCTTAGAGTGAAAGAAACACATTTTTTTGGAACAACTTATTGTTGTTTACAATCTAATGAAAGACTTTCCATCCAAAAGCTTCTCAAAAGCCATTGATTGGTTCCCAAATGCTGACATGCGTCCCCTAGGGGTGGCACAGTGTATTTGAAGAGTGAGCCAGTTTTTATTTATGTTTTCATGACAATGTTAACCAGTGGCGGTTCTAGAGCAAATGTACCAGGGGTCCAGGGCTCAGAAAAGCATAAAATAAAGAACAGAGCAAAGGATTCAAATGTATTAATAAAGCTGCATGAAGTGACATTTCTATTCAATTAGGTTTAATTAAAATTCTATGTCTTATTAGGTCAATATATACTTCTAGATTAATTGATTTAAGTTAAAATTACTATATAATAATAATTACTTTATATTATAAATCTGAATTAGAACTCAAGAAAAACTGATAAATTCAGCTGTCAAAAGTAGCATTTTTTTTATTTGTTTTGCAGATGTAAACTGGGATCCTATCTCATTCCCACTGAAGCTATCGCCTTATTGTTTTTAAATAAGTAGTGGAGCAGAATTTGTAAAGAAAAAAATGAAATAGATCTAAAGCACCAATCAGTAACCATGTCTGTTCCATCATTAGGATTTCTTTGAGTGTTATGTTTTCAGCACAGGGGCCATAACATGATCTACAGGGGCCCTGGACCCCGCTGGCCCCTGTCTGGAACCGCACATAATGTTGACCTCTGCAGTAGAATAAACAGCTTAACTGACAATAATTGCACTTGAACGTTGGCAGCTTTTGCAAAGATGTTTATTTTATTGCAATATTTAATTTACTGCTGTTAACTTTTTTTTTTTTTGTTAAGTTGCTGAAAAGGTTGGAGTGGGGTTAGAGATTCAGGGGCCACATAAAAAATTATTGTAAACAACAGGGGGGCCCATAGAAAGGTTTAAATAAAACAAAGGTCCTCATGAAGCTCATTACTGCCTCCTTTTATGATCCATTGTTTTTTAGTTTGATTAATCAGTAAATGTTTTTATTTTTGGTTGTTTTAATTTTGGACATCTGTGTGATTTTTATTATGTAATAAGAATGAAAAAAGCAACATCGGCTCCAAGAATCGGTCCGAACACATCGGCAGCCCAAAGCAGTTAGACTGATGTTAATAACGGTCAGAAAGTATGAAAATATAAACAGCATTAAACAATTTCTAATAATCCAATTTTACTGCAGACTAGATTTGGATTCTGGGATTTTTACATTCGCTGTTGCTCCAGTTGCTGCATTTGGTTTTTCTTGTTGTTTTGAATTAACGTTTAGTTTAAAAAGTTAAAACTAAATTTAAAGTCTTTATTTTGATGCTCCAAGTTTGAAATATTCCTGTATTTAGATGCTGACCTCAGTCCTGGGTTATTATTGCCAATTATTACTAGAAAACATTGGATATAGATAATAAACTAATCATGACTCATCCAGCATCTCCTTAACTACAGGCTTTGGTGGAGGAAACTTTGCTTTGATGCATTGAGATTAAGTTTGCTTTTTTTGTGTTTTGGTCGATAAAGAATGAGATCAAGTATCTTTTATTTTCATTATGGACTAAAGGGAAAGTTTTCAACCAATATTTCAGAGTAAGGAGAAGAAATTCCATTTAAACTCTAATCTTAACATCTTGCTTCTGTTTTTATCTGTTTTTATGGAGGTAAAGACTAAAAAAGATTAAAACTTCAAATCCATCACATTTACAAATGAGTATGTGGAGGATTTTGGAATCGTTTAGAAACAGCTGTTGTTATTATTATTATTTTTATTCCAAGGATTAGAATAATGCTACTAGCCTCTTTAATAAGACTCAGTTCCCTGCAGACGCTTCGCATTGGGAAAGAAAAACAGAGAAGAAAGACCTGAGAACGTGTGCAAATGTTTACGAAGTCAACCACAAGTTGGCTTGTGTTGCACCTGATCACCAATACAAACTCATCAGACATGTAAACGACCTTTTCTAATCTGGTTCTGAAGTCACTATTTTTCCTTTTTTTTGTCCCAGATGGAAAGAAGATTACTCTGACTATAGGAAACCAGATGACCTATAAGAAGATTTACAACGTTGTTGGATACTTGAAAGGAAAGAAGAATCCAGGTGAGAAAGTTACAGGAACACATTAAATAAACGTCATAAACCTTCTGCAGGAGCTTCTGGCTGCAAACTCCACCAAATAAACCTGCTTTGATTCTTCCATCAAGATTCATTATAAAGTTACTGTGATGGAAAATTACCACTGATTTGATTTTCGCATTTTAAGAACCAACATTCCTTAAATCACCAGACCTTTAAATCTGTGCGCATCCATCCATCCATCCATCCATCCATCCATCCATCCATCCATCCATCCATCCATCCATCCATCCATCCATCCATCCATCCATCCATCCATCCATCCATCCATCCATCCATCCATCCATCCATCCATCCATCCATCCATCCATCCATCCATCCATCCATATCATTCTCAGGCCAGAAAGATTTTCCTTCTAAAAGCTCTTATTTTTCCCTGAATGCCTCTGAAAGGTTTGGATCCACTGGAAGTGACAAAGAAACATCTAAAGTAGAATCTTCAAACATAAACCTTTCATATAGGGGAAACAGAAAGATCTAAATATCCTCTATGAATACTGTATTGATGCTCAATAAGGTCCATTAGCACTTCATGACAAAAGGCTAAATACTCAAAACATGCATTTGCCCGATGTTTGTTTCTATTACTATGAGCATCTGTTTAAAGCAGAAACTGAGTCTATATTCTGGTGATTCTTTGGCTCCGTTTTGCTCCTGAGGGGGAAATGTGTGTCTCTTTTTGCTCTTGCATGCCCTTTTCTTTTAATTGTCAGTGTAGAGAAGGTTTTTAATCTTGTCCTTGCCTCTCCTCCACAGCCTTTCTCTTTACACACCCTCCACTCCCACAGCACTGTGATGCAACCCTACCTGTCCTGCCCACTCACCAGTGGAAAATTACCTTCCTGATTTACAGTGTGATATTAAGCAGACATAATGGCCCACTAAAACAGATAATATGGACCACAAATCTTTGCAAGTAGCAACACTTCAACTGGTTGTTGGCATTTGATCATAACCATGTTCTGCTCTCAAACATGAACAGAATGAATATTCATGCATGCTCTTAGCGGGCCTTTCTGCCCTGCTTTATGTACTTTATGGCTGCACAAACACAAGCAGCATCGTAATGATCCTAAAATACGCTTTGCTCCAATGCATTTTAGTACTGCAATGTTACAGCATTGCGCTTTATAACAAAAGGTCAAAGAAAGTGTCAGATTTGAACATTGGTCCTGATGTTAGGGTAACAGTAAAATGAGGACAGAGTGTTTCCCACAAATGCTACTGATGATTTGATCTTTATTAATTTGTAACAAGACTTTGCAGATAAAGCGCTCTGTCCTTTAAAATATATTTTAAAATTTAAATGTTGCAAAATATTATTCCAGTTTACCATCATCTTAAAATAGTTCCTATTAGTTTAGTTGAAATTTCTATGGCAAAGGAGAGTCCTAGATGTGATTGTCTATCAGTGGATGATCTTGTAGTAGGAATATAAGGAGCCAAAGCCAATACTCTAATTTTTCTGGTTTAAGATTAGCTTCTGCTTGCAGATACAAAACAGCCGCTCTGTCTGGATAAATATATTCTCATGTTTCCTGAAAGGGCAACAGGTGAAGCACACTCACGTTTAACCTGTGTTTGTAGACCAGTTAGTAGACCAGACATAGCTTCTCCACCAAACACATTCTTTCTCAAGGTTTATTCATAACATGTTACTGTTTAACCAAAGTATCTGTAATTTGTTTTGACTCTGACTACTTTCCATTATTGTCAGTAAGGAGGAACGAACGCTGCCCAGGCAGAACAGGGCTGATTACTGTGCATTAAAAGCCGTATGTGAACTAATCTCTCTTTGCAAAGATAAAAATAAAGTGCCGACTGAGTGAAATTAATCAATCTCCATTTATTTAACTTAAGCAAATAGTTGAATACTTTTTATTCACTACAATGTTTCAAATAAAACTACTCATACGAGTATTTATCACACCTGTGCTTGACTTCATGTCATACAAAACCTTTTTAATTTATTGTTGGAATAAACTTTGTCCTTATTTAGCCTTTTTCTTAATTCTATCTCAAGGATAAAATGAGGCATATTTCTCATTTTGTATGTATTTCAAAAGATGTCATGGATCATATGCATGTATGTGATATTTACCATAAACCATTCAGGTTCCAACGCTTTCCTCCTCAGTCTTCCCCCATATTAGGTCATAAATACACAAAGACTTTTCTTAGAATCTAGAACAATACAAAGAAATACTGCTACTGCTAGCAGCCAAATAGATCCTTATCCAATCCCTCCCACCCGGGGGGGGGGGGGGGGGGGGGGGGGGGGGGGGGGGGGGGGGGGGGGGGGGTGTGTGTGGGGGGCTAAACTCTGTTTACATGTATGGTTAATACAACTATTCCTTATTTGTTCACATTAATTATATTTTTGATAAAAACCACTATAATGCCATCGGAACGCTGATAATATTAAGTGTGTCTCAGCCCCCCCCCCTTCAGTGTCCACCATATTGGATCAGTCCATTTGCTGCACATGTTCAGAAAGGTCCAAACAGACAGCAGCAAACCATTTGAAAACAAACCATGCAAAGAGCAGTGTTGCCAACTTAGCGCTTTAGTCGCTATATTTAGCCACTTTTCAGACCCCTCTAGCACTTTGATTTCTAAAAAGCTCCTAGCGCCAAATCTAGAGACTTTTTTCTGCTACTGGAGACTTTGGAGACAACATCTAAAAGCAGCGAACTCTGCTCTCCAGAGCGAGTAGATTGGTAACCCCGCCTCCTGCTCTCCTCTATCTTGTCTGCTGTCATGATTCATGCAGCTATTATTTCATCCAAATGAAAAATGGAGAACAGATAAGCAGATCATGGCTTGTCTACAGTGAAAAGAAGGACTGGGTTATTTACTTTGGCCTTTTTGGAAACACAGGAAGGAGCAATCAGCTAAGTGAGCTTAGTGCTTGGAAAAAATCTTTCATTCCTTTAGAGACAGCATGAAAAGTCAGCTGAGTACAAAACATAGAGAGGAAAACAAGAAGAAAAGGGACAAGAAGAGAGGGACACAACCTAGAACAGATAATGGATGTCTGTTCTATTATCTGGAGAATGGGGCTGGGGCCCCTGCCTGTCTTTGCCTAGGGCCCCACATTTCCTTTCGATTACCATCAGAAGCCTCACTGTCATCCTAAACATTTATTCTGTCACTGATGTTAAATTCCCTTCAGATTGACAGATTATTTATCCTTTATTCTTAATTTATGATGGAATGAATTTTAGTTCCTTTCTCTTGGTTCTTGGATTTTTCTTGAACATCCTAACCGCCATGTTATCTCAGATTTCCCCACCTCACCATAACTCTCCCATACATCCATATTGTTACGTTAGACAAACATCTCAGTCTTCGTCAGACATCTGGTGACGCTGACTGATTCCAGGTTGATGCTGTCGATTCTAGAAGATGTTCTTCTTTAATAGCCTGGATCCTCCCAGTCTGTGTCGATGGTTCAGATGCTTAATGTCTTCCCCTTTCAGTGAAATTTATATTTTATAACGTTACCAGTTTGTAAATGCGATAATCGTGTTATTTTCCCAGAAAAAATGTCCTTTTAGGAATTGTGTTGATAAATCAGTCATTCATTAAATTATCATTTGTATTAATCATATTAAAATTACCTTTTAAAAATAACAAATAATATTAATATAGATATTCAACATTCGTTTCATTTTGCGCTTTTTTCTAGTGAGAAATAATTTATGTTGGCCTGATGTGATGTTCTTATCTTTAATGTTTTTTTGAATGAAGTCATTACATTTAAAATAATAGACTTGAAACCATTGGTCTGTGTGGATCTCATCTATATCATATTTTTCACTAAAATAAATCAACTTCTCCAAAGTTTTACTGCACTCTATGAGCCAGAATGATTTTAAACCAGAATATTGAGAATAATCTGCAGGAAATTTCAGCCTGAGCCCCAAAATGTCTTTTCTAAAATTCATTAAGGTTGTAATTTGTCTCATCTGATCTTCAGACTGGTACTGTAAGCTTTCATCTCCGTGCATCACAGGGTTTTGAAAGAGCTGATTAATTTAGACTTAGACTTGCTGATGCCATTTCAAATGGCTTAAATAGGTCAAACACTTTAGCTCTGAATATGCGAATAAAAAGATTAAAAGAAACATTACAAAAAAACCTTCAAATTCAAAAACGTTTGAACTGACTCCAAGTTTAAGGTTACGCTATTCTTGTCTGATTAAGGCAGCAAAATGTGAATATAGCATGTAAACATAAAGAAGCTCGGTCTTAAAGGAAAAGTCGCTCATATTCAGAATCCAAACTTCTGAAAGTTCTTTAAATCTGAAATGATTCCATCCTGTTCAATAAATGATCAGTGTTTTTAACTCAGAGTAATTTTCATGTGAATGTGCTTTACTGGAGGCATCCATGTTTGTCAAAGAACACTACTGCCACCTACTGGTTAGTGACATTGTCACGGTGCGGTATCGGCTGTTGATCAAGTCCCAGTGCTGTATCTGGTGTTTGTCACAACGCGCTATTATCCAAGTCATCTTGAAAACATTCTTCTTCCAAATGTTGGCTACATATTACGTGTGTAGAGATCTTCATCCATTCATTCATTAACTTCATAGGTTCCTGTTTTTTATATCTTCAGAATAAGTTTAAAACATATGTTTATTGGGTAACAAATATAGAAATATGAACCCCTTTGTGGTGTCGGCAGATGGCCGCTCACACTGAGCCTGGTTCTGCTAGAGTGTTTCCTCTCCACTGTCGCTACACGCATGCTTGGTGTGAGGGATTGCTGAAGAGTCAATGAGTCGATTCAATCAACTTTTTTTTTTTACCAATCAAACTGAATGATCTAGTTGAATTTTCTCTGTAAAGAGTCGTGAGATGAGATTAGTTTTGAATTTGAGTTTTTAAAATTGAAATAAATGGAAATAAATATGAAATTTGATATAATTTGTTAATTCTTAGCGTTGGATCAATTA